CAGGCGGCTGGGGGACAGGAAGGTGGGGGGCCGAGGGTGTAGGGGGCAGGGCGGAGCGGGCTTCCCAGTGGTCATGGACACCCATCTGCCTGGAATCAGGGAGCAGGGGTGGCCCTCCAGTGCAGTGCTCCCCTTGGCAGAACCCTTTGTTTCTCCATCCCTCCGTCCCCCAAGCTCGGGGGCATTTTGGTGGCTGTGGGGTGGCACTCAGCCCCGATGCCCAGACCACCATCTGACACACGACGCCACCCCCTCCCCAGGCCGGCGGACCACGGCGAGCTTCCTGAGCATCAAAGAATTCATGGACACAGCTGAGGTGCTGCAGCTCCTAGACGATGCAACTATCCTTCCAAAAGATGGTAGTGTGTGATCACCGCTGGCCACCTGCCCGCCTGGTGGGAGGTTGATTTATGTGGGGGAGGGGAGGCAGGGGACCCATCTTGCCATGTGTCAGGATCAAAAGCCATCATGAACAGGGGCTGGGTGTCCTCTCCATTCCCGCCTCCTGGCCTTGCACCAGGCGTCAGCGCTGGCCATGCCCTTGTCCCGCAAAGAGCATGAGACGTGCCCCCCCCCATTCTTTCAGTGTCCCTGAGCAGGCAACACGTGGCTGTGGCAGAGGGCTGGGGCTGTAGGGCATGGCCTGACACACGTGCTCACGATGGATGTGGGCCTGGGAGCAGCCTGGCCCCTCAGCCTCTCTCTCCTCCCCCAGCCTCCTGTGCGAACACCCTTCTGCCGTGAGCGCTGCGCCCTCGGCCCTTTCTTGGGGGACTCCACTCAGGGTCCCCCGGCCCTGGAACAGGGCTCCGGAGCAGTCCTCATGCCCATTGCTCACCAAGTGCTACTTGGAGACTCCTGGCCATCGCTGAGGCGGAACCCAGGGCCACGGCTGTCACCACCAGAGAGATCCTTGGTGACCACAGAGAGATGAGACCCAGACCATCACCTCCTCCTGAGCCCTCCGACCCTCATCTGCTGTCAAATAGACTGCGGGCCTCTGCCACCTGCCCTCTCTGCTCCTTGTCACTGGAGTCTCACTGGGATAATGGCTCCAGGTCTCCCTACTCTGAGGAGGGCGTGTTCCTTGAGGCTTGTGGTTCAGATGTGGCTCCCAGTCTGTTCTCTGCGGCTCTTGACTGTTCCCTGGGACGTCCTTCCATTTGTACCTGTCTGCTTTGTGATGGTTAATTTATGTTGTAATCTGAGATGTGTGAGGGTGTCCTGTCTGCCAGCTCTCTTACTCAAGGGTTTTCGCATCCAACGGTGATGCTTGTCCGAGCTGGTTTTTTCTACAGTCGTTAAAGATGGTGATTAAAAAAAAAACTGTATTGCTTCTGCGTTATGGGGTTGGCCTTCTGTTATCAAGAAAAGCTTTCCTTCTCCTCCTCTCCAACCCCTTTAATTAATTATTGTTTTGGTATCATAGTGGACGCATGGATACCTTTAAAAATTATTTTGTAACAGTATAGACTAACTGGGCTCTATTTGATTCAAAATCCACTCGACAGCAGTGGGTTTGGTTTTGGTTTTTTTATTTTATTCATGGTGCATCAAAAAATTCCCATCATTATTTTTATTCCCAAATTATTCTAAAGTTATCCAGTATATTTAGATGCTACTTCCGTATAACAAAGGCAACACACACACCCCTGCTTACAGTTTGCAAAAAGATACATAGGAAGGACAGAGACAGGGCTTGGTTACCTGCAGAAGTCCATGGGAACACGGTGAGGGGTGGGGAGAGAATGGGTTCTTCTGAGTATAGCTTGTTTCTTCTACTTAACAACATATCCTAAAAAATAACTCAGTTATCAGTCACTAGTGACAGTTCTCCTTTTTAATGGCTGCACAGTACTCAATAAACGGATGCAGTGCTGAAAGTGCTCACTCGTCTATGCCAAGAAATTTCAACGAGAGCTACCTGGCCAACCAACTGGAAGAGATCCATATTTTTGCCTATTCCAAAGAAACGTGATCCAACTGAAGGCGGAAATTACTGAACAATATCATTAATATTACATGCAAGTAAAATTTTGCTGAAGATCTTTCAAAAGTGGTTGCAGCAGTATATCGACAGGGAACTGCCAGAAATTTGAGGCGGATTGAGAAGAGGACGTGGAACTAGGGATATCATTGCTGATGTCAGAGGGATGCTGGCTGAAGGCAGAGAATACCAGAAAGATGTTCTCTTGGTCATCTAGTGCTGCTGTAACGGAAATACCACATGTGGATGGCTTTAACAAACAGAAGTTTATTCTCTCACCATCCAGTAGGCTAGAAGTCTGAATTCAGGGCCCCAGCTCCAGGGGAAGGCTTTCTCTCTCTGTCAGCTCTGGAGGAAGGTCCTTGTCATCAGTATTCCCTTGGTCTGGGAGCATCTCAGTGCAGGAACCTCAGATCCAAAGGATGCACTCTACTCCTGGCGATGCTTTCTTGATGGTATGAGGTCCCCATGCCTCTCTGCTTGCTTCTTTCTTGTAAATCTCAAAACAGATTGACTTAATATACTATCTAATCTTGTAGATCTCATCACTATAACTGCCACTAATCCATCTAATTACATCCGAGTGATAGAATTTACAACACACAGGGAAATCACATCAGATGACAAAATGGTAGCCCATCATACAATACTGGGAATCATGACCTATCCAAAATGACCGATTTTTTGGGGGACACAATTCAATCCACGACAGACGTTTATCTGTGTTTTATTGACTATGCAAAGGCATTCGTCTGTGTGGATCACAACAAATTATGGATAACATTGTAAAGAATAGGAATTCCACAACACTTAATTGTGCTCATGAGGAACCTGTACATAGATCAAGAGGCAGTCCTTTGAACAGAACAAGGGGATACTGCGTGGTTTAAAGCCAGGAAAGGTGTGCGTCAGGGTTGCATCTTTTCACCATACTTATTCAATCTGTTGGCTGAGCAAATAATCTGAGAAGCTGGACTATACGAAGAAGAATGGGGCTTCAGGATTGGAGACTCATTAGCAACCTGCATTATGCAGATGACACAACCATGCTTGCAGAAAGTGAAGAGGACTTGAAGCACTTACTGATGAAGATCAAAGACCACAGCCTTCAGTATAGATTACACCTTAACATAAAGAAAACAAAAATCCTCACTGGACCAACAAGCAGCATCATGACAAACGGAGAAAAGACTGAAGTTGTCAAAGATTTCATTTTACTTGGATCCATAATCAACGTCTATGGAAGCAGCAGTCAAGAAATCAAACAATTCATTGCACTGGGCAAATTTGCTGCAAAAGTCCTCTTTAAAGTGTTAAAAAAAACAAAGATGTCACCTTGAGGACTAAAGTGTGCCTGACTCAAGCCATGGTGTTTTCAGTCACCTCATATGCATGTGAAAGCTGGACAATGAATAAGGAAGACCGAAGAAGAACTGATGCCTTTGAATTATGGTGTTGGTGAAGAATATGGAATACACCATGGACTTCCAGAAGAACAAACAAATCTGCCTTGGAAGAAATACCGCCAGAATGCTGCTTAGAAGGAAGGATGGCGAGACTTGGTCTCACATACTTTGGACATGTTATCAGTCCCTGGAGAAGGACCTTATGCTTGGCAAAGTAGATGGTCAGCGAAAAAGAGGAAGACCCTCAGTGAGATGGATTGACACAGTGGCTGCAACAATTGACTCAAGCATAAGAACTGTGAGGATGGCACAGGACCTGGCCGTGTTTCGTTCTGTTGTACGTAGGGTCGCTCTGAGCCGGGACCGACTTGAAGACACCTAACAACGACAATAAGCATAGTAATCCATTGACAGTTGCACCAGTGTTCATTTAGCCAATGAAAACCAGTTAAAAAACCAGTTACCATCTGGAGTCTACTCCAATTCATGGCGACCCCATGTGTGTCAGAGCAGAACTGTGCTCTTCCACAGGGTTTTCAGTGGCTGATTTTTTGGAAGTAGATCACCAGGCCTTTCTTCCAAAGCACTCTGGGTGGACTCCAGCCTCCAACATTTTTGGTTAGCAGCTGAGTGTGTGAACCGTTTGTGCCACCCAGGCACTGCTCGGCCAATGAAGAGGCTTCCAGCTTGGGAGGATTTACCTTTCCTCTTGGGCTCATTTGGAAGCCCTGGCAGAGGGTGCCTACGAGCCATGCTGGAAGCCAGTGTTTCCCAAACAACAGAGGGAGGGGCTCACCAGAAACACCAACGCAGCCCAGGGTGGGTGGCGATGGTAGGGACAGAGCACCTTGGCACTGAGGGATCGGTGGGGCTGATACAACAGTCTGCGTTTCTACCAAACAGATCTGTCAGGGCATCCGCCTGGTCTCCCCTCCCCACAACCCATCAGCAGTCCTCCTTCAGAAGGCAAGGGAAGCCCCAGCGTGGCCTCTGCTCCATCATCTGAGGGGCCACTAGGAAGTCCAGTGGGCTGCCCCTTGGAAGTCCCCACTGACTGGGAGAGGTGGTCAGGACGGTCCCCAAGAAGAAGGGAGAGATGGAGACTCTAGGGGACAGGTCTGACCACCCCTGCCCACAACATTGCCTGAGAACTCTCAGCTGTCCCGGGGCCTTCCACACCTTCCACATTGTCCACTTTACCCGGGTGCTTGTGCCAGTGATGGCTGTGGTGGGGAGAGTAATGGCCCCCTAAGATGTCCACATCCTGGTCCCCAGAACCTGTGACTAAGTCACCTCACATGGCAAAGGGGACCTTGCCGGTGTGATTAAGTCAAGGATCCAGAGACGGGGAGATTATCCTGGATTATCCAGATGGGCCTGATCTGACCACATGAGTCCTTAAAAGCAGAAACTCTTTCCTGGCTGTGGTCATTGTTGGCTTTGAAGATGGAGGAGGGGGCCGTGAGCCAAGGAATGTGGTGGCCTCTGGAAGCTGGAGCCTGCGAAGGAACCAGCCCTGCCAGCACCTTGATTTTAGCCCTGAGAGATCCGTGTTGGGCTTCTGGCCTCCAGAACTGTGAGATAAAACTGGGCTGTTTTAAGCCACTCATTTGTGACACCTTGTTACGGCAGCAACAGAAAGTGCATTCAGGGCACTTTCCACAGGGAGTTGGGCTGGCCTGACTGAACGTGGCAACCCTTCCTCTGGGTTGGGACCGGGTTCTGGCTTCTCCAGGAACTTGAGTTTTCCTGTCTGAGCCCTCCAAACCGTCAGCAGCCCCAATTTAGCACTGACTGTGTTTGCAGCCCTGGCCTCGCTTGCTCTGTGTGGGTCTTGGGCAGACACCAGGGGTGTTGGGATCTACTTTCCTGTGTCCAGGGCTTGTGGCTCCATCCCCGCTGGCCAGCCCTGGTAGCAGGCCCACGTGTGCTGATCCAGGCAGGGAGCCCCACCTGTGGCTGTGCCAGTGATAGGGTCCCTGGCTACGCACCTGCTGGGGTAAACAAAGCTCCACCGCCAACGGTCTGCGTGTGTGCTGGGAGCCGTAAGAAAGCCCCACATGCTGGGGGATGAAAACAACAGATGTTCATTCTCTCACAGCTCTGGAGGCCAGAAGTCCAAATCAAGGTGTCAGCCGGGTCGTGCTCTCTCCGAAGGCTCTAGGGGAGGACCCTTCCTTGTCTCGTCCAGTTTCTGGTGGTAGGTGTCCGTAGTTGTGGCTCGATCACTCCAGTCTCTGCCTCCTTCTTCACGTGGTGTTTTCCCTCTGACTGTCTGTGTCTCCAAATCTCTCCTTGTAAGGGCACCAGTCATAAGGGCTTAGGGCCCGGATTACTCCAGTATGACCTTA